ATGTACAAAATTCATTGTCGTGAAAATGCCATGCTAAAAAGCGATTCAAAAAGGCCCTTCGGACTTTATGGGAATTTATAATCATTAGTAGAAAATGCCATCTTTCATCAGCCTCGGCTACCGTTCTCTTGTTCATGTTTTTGCACTATAAAATAGTCTAGGGGTCGTGCTTCCCTTGAAACCGTGAAATGAAAAGGTGTTAAGTACAAACTTGAAATCCAATTGAAGACAGAAAAATAAGCTCTCAATTTATCCATTAAATAAATAAGCAAACATGTCTTGTTGCTTGTTGAGCTGCTGTGTTAAGGTCATTCTGTCAACATGCAATATTTATTTGGCCATTTGACATTTAATATGTGGACGTAGACGCTCAAAAAGCGTTTACACGGGCTTCCAGCAGCAAAAAAGAAATTTGTTTAATAACGGATCTGAATTTTCTCATCTTAGAACAAAAAAAAAAAAATAATTCATTATGACATTTCCATTTTCTATTGTTTTTGCCTTATGTTGGTTTTTGTTTTTGTTGTTAGTTTATTGTATTTTATTGATATTATGTTTTTTTACTGTGGAATTTTGTTTCAAAATTAGGATAAGCCTATTAAACGTTGTTACCAACATTCTGTTTCTGCATGTTCAAGAACTTGGAAATTGGAAATCACTGCAGTACTTTACATTTCAGGTGGACATCGCGCCAATGAACATAACAAACTCAATGTGAATGAGACTTTATTGCCTTTTGTGATTGTGCTTCAAGTATGTTTACAATAACATAAGAGCAGGGGCTCTAGAAGTGAAATTATATTTATTTTTATTATGTTTACTATTTGTTCTTCAAGGTCGATAAGTCGCTTAATTTATCAAACTTAACATAGTCGATATGTGTAAAGTTTTGCTTGTCTAAAATGTATTATTCTGAATATGTCGTCTTTGCCTGATGAGCGAATCGATAAAAACACRAATAACATGATCACAAACGAATGAGGATCTTTTCAACACCATAAGCTCCGCACTCCCATGCAACATCCTCCATTTCCCTTTGTAATATGGTCTAATATATCTATTCTATTATTGAAAATTAAACACGAGCAAGGATCTTGCATTTACATTCATTTACACAATAATGTTCATTTTATTATACATTTTAACATTTCTTTTCAGTGTTCAAAGGAATCAGTTTGCAGTTGTCGTTTTATGTTCGGTTTTTTTTCTTTTCGCAGTCCGAGGAATGTATTCTTCGTTTTCTTATTTACACCATATCCTCGCAAACACTCACTCTTGGGTAACGTTAACCTTCTTACCACCCATGCGGCACATCCTATTCCACAATGCGATGACAGCAAATTCTACAATTTCTGTTAATGTTAAAAGACTCATCCCAAGAAACAAGCCAAGGTTACCTCCAATATTACCTGATGAGTTCAACGATGAAACAGTTATGTTTTCTCTAATGTTTTTTGGATGGGAAATTACCTACAGTCGATACATAGTAAAAAAGGCTCATTTGTTTCATTCTCGTAATTTTTAGTTGGTGAACATCTTTGCCATATTAAATTTATTTCATCCGCAAGAAAAATCCACTGGAGGAGACTGGAAGGTGGAGTTCTCTGGTAACTATGTGTTTTTCGAGTTTTAATTTCTAGTTATCTGAAGTTCCAGCATAATTTACGCGCGATCTTTGCTATAATGTACGAGGTCGCCATCTTGGGTGATCAACTGTTATATCCAAAATGGCMGCCAAAACTTTGAAGCCTTGAAATGAGAAAGCATGATTTTTTTTGCTTAATAATTTGCCAATGATTAGTTAGAATTCCAATTTTGAGTACGTTTGAGACAATTATCAGCATATAGCAGCATACCATATCAAAGAATTGTATGTCATTCGTGTGGGATCCCTGTGCATTTTAGTTTTGGGCTTACTTTACCGAATCCATGCCATATATGGAAACAAAGAAAATGACCGCTTTTTCATAAATGTTTCTCCATAATATCTGCAAGGTTCGGACGATTTCGTTATTTAAAAAACGAGAAGATCGAAAAAAAAACAATCTAAACATACTTCCACTAATAACGTAAGATTACTATAAATGAGTGCTGAACGAATAACAACTTTTCTAAGACACTTCTTTAYCAAAATATATATAAACGGGGGATTATTTTGATTATAGTAGCATAAATCATAAAAATTCGCAAAAGAACCTAGCTTCTCATGTTGTACTCAATACTTACTTATCAATGTAAACTCTTRATAGGATGGAACTTGTTTTACTTCTTCGTATAGGATATCCCTCAAGTAGACTTCAAAAATGACTATGTTCTCCCTAAAAAACAAATAAAATCAAATTTAATATTTCCTTTCGAAGAGAGTACTAGAGTATGAAACATTTGATCGGCCCCATATCTTTGGACAAATGATGATAGTCGACTGTGAGATCACAGAACACATCCATAGTCCTTTTTGTTTACTGAATTTATTTCATTTATTATGAATTTTGATTCAATATTTTTAGATACTTTTTTTAAATTTGTATTAAAATACTTAAAATGTCCAATTAAATTAATATAGTATTATGATCACTTCTTTAGTTAGAAATAAAAAACGGCCGCGAGTGCCAATGTAAGACGGCTGCCGAACAGAAGCAAGTCAAAATCGGAACACGAACAGAATCGCAAAAGTCTCCTTCACGGTTACCTGTGCCATCTTGAAAGGTAGCCATGCCTTTGCATCGAAGCGAGACGAACGTTGAGNGTAACCATCAGTGCCTGCAATGAATAACATAGAAAAAGATAAGACATTTCTGTGAGGTCTTATAAATAGAACAAAAATACTATGCGAATTTCAAAKTTTTGGTCTTATATGTAAATGAATCATGGACAGTTTCATGCTGTTGAATGTCCTGGTAACTTCAGAAAGCACCGTTCGAAAGGTCTTCAAATGCSGAAAGYTTAACATACTTTGAGGTTCTCAAAATGGCCCACAATGGAGGCATTTAGCACTGAGCAATCCGAAGCGACACTTGGGATTGAAAACACATAAGATTAAAGCGATCATTTCATTTGAGTTATGCCCAGATTACCGTCATTCTGGCTTTGCTTCTAGATACTAACCAGTATCATCCAGAGAACAGTTGCATTTCTTCCTAACCTCCCTCTGGTAGCATTCATAGTAGCACAAGTTTCGCCTGTATTTCTTTTTTTCGTATTTCCAATTCTTCATTGTACCACATGCTGTTGGATATGGAAATTCAAGACTAATAAACTGCTTTCGCCTCGCTTCACAAGACGTYTAAGCGCCAGACAGGGTGTAAAAACCTTCGTTSATATTTGGAGYAGTACCATGYGGATGGACAGCAACGATYAAGCCAACGTTAAGATTATAACCATTGTCCAAGTATGAACTTAAGCCCACGTTCAGCACGAGCCGGAGCCCAGTTGCACTGCCTGTGAATTTAACAGATCTGTTCCGTGGTCGAAAGGTATAGCATCTGCCGTAAGGAGTTATGTCTACTGGGTCGAAATCGTCGGCATTGCATGGTCTAAAATTGTACAKACAGGAGAACAGCTCTTTAGGCAGAAGCATCTCTTGGATAAGATGGCTTCTCTTTGCTGTATCGMTTGTGTAGAATYAWTTCATTCTGGTCGAATTTGTCAAGTTTTTTTCCYAGGGSAAGYACCTATGAACAACGCGYAATTTCTTTGTAAATGATATGTAAATATAYTGTAAATTGTAATTTACAMAAACAAATGTCCTTTTAAARTGAGATGTACATTATGKATATATTTTGTAAATTTTGCTCGATCTAACATTGTGAATATCTTGTAACATCAATCTACAAAGTATGTAAAAGGACATTTTCCCTGTAAATTGAATGATTTACAGTAAATTTACAGACTATTATTATACATTGCATATTATATACAATATATTAGGTGCATGTTTTGTTGTCCTTCCATGCAAAAAAGAGAGATGGCGCCTACCTGGAGTAGTTAACGCRAAACGTCGTTTCAATAATTCTCCGTAAGTTCCTCGCCATGTATTTGATATCAGCGTTTATTTCACTGTCCGATGTACCGGGAAATCTCATCTTCACATGATCACGGTACTTTCTGGTATTCAGCATGTTTAGATTACAAAAACTCACGGCTGGAAATTTCTGCRGTTTTTCTTGCTTCATTTCGATGATTGTCGCGTAAGGCCTTGACCTGAAATGTTGTATGGAGTCAATGGTTTGACTAACGCAGTAGGCGAACGCAGCTATTAGGCATACAATCCAAAATAGTTTTCGGACAGGGTTTCTTTCATTAACATATCTCGCTCCATGTAGAGTTGTGTTGTCGATGAAATCTTTCAACCTGGCATTTCTTTCTTCTTTCTTCTTCTTCTGATCGTTTTCACCTATTTTTCTTGCTTCGTCGGTTATATTCATTTTAGTAGACATATGGCACAGCTTACTTGGCTCATCAATTAATTTGACTTTTTGGACCTACTTCGAATCAATCCAACGTTATTAAAAAGTGTGTTTACTTTTGAATGTTTGTAGTAGCCATTGTTTTTCCTTTTGTCGTTATTTCAAGTTATATTATAGATCGACGTCAGGAATATATGAATTATTCCAACCCTTGTTATAAGCTCTATGRTGCAAGACTTGTAAGATTGAAGATAAGTTAAATTAAAACTTTCTGTCATCTCAATTCAATAATGACGATGGGAACACCTCCTTTGATATAGCAATGTCTTGTTTAATGATTAAGTTAATCAAATCAACTGTCAAACTTGAAAAGATCCAATAAATCACATAGGACGTAAACTAGTCGAAAATTATTAAGTTCACAGCTATAGTCCAGCAGCATGCACGCTCCAAGTCAATAAAGAAGTCAATTTACCATAAGGATTACTCTGTTCGAGAGACCCAATATTTGTTTTGCCTTGTTTTGTCTTATGTTACGGAGTGTCTAAATGTCAGGCAGCCTGAGTGGAGTGTTCCGAAAAACTAAAAAATCGTTTGAACAACGATTATTTAACAAGAAAAATGGGAAAAAGTCCGAAATAATACTGTTCGTCAAGGTTGTATACACAAGTACGGTACTTTCAGATTTTTTGATTGCCTGACGGAGTGTCAAATATAGCGAGAAATATTAATTGTATAGAATCATACTGTTCGTGGACACTCAAAATGATGAAATAGCAAAACAGGCGACAAAGTTGTCTGACCAGTACATTAGTACGTTTTCTAACAAAATACTTTCAAGGTTATGTTGAGAATTTGATAACAATATAAGATAATTGCGTACTTTATGGCTAACACCATATTTTTTCAAGGTACACCAGACGCACAAGTATGTCAATGACCCTGCGATGTTAGGATGTTTAAGTCAGTTACAAAGGATTATGATGGTGGGGGGGGGGGGGATAACGAATGACTGCATAGATCACGATATGAATGCTTCATCTAGGGTTATGGCAGTCACGTTCTCTCTAAACACAACACACAATGACTTTGAAGAAAAGTTCAGAAAAGAAAGAAACGCAGAACATTTTCAGAGCTTTCCATAAAAATCAGTGACTTGTACAAAATTCATTGTCGTGAAAAATTCCCTGCTATAGAAAGCGTCAGAAGTACATAACCAGTGTCCATCTCGCTCGTTATATCGACACCACCAGATGTCCTGATAATCTACTTTTAGACAACCAATCAACCAATTTTTGTTATGTTGGCTGTTGTTGTCGTTTTTTCATTTTATTGTATTTTACTGGTTTTTATGTTTTTTTACTGTGGAATTTTGTGTAAAATTAATGGGATAAGCCTCTTAAATGTTGTTACCAACACATTCTGTTTCTGCGTGTTCAAGACCTTGGGAATTGGAAATCACTTCAGTACTTTACATTCCAGGTGGATATCGAGCCAATAAACATAATCTAAACTCAACTATGTAGTGAGATTTTATTGGCACAGACTTATAAATACAACTTTCTTAGTTGTGCTTAACATTTTTTAAAAGTACTTTTTTAAAAGTACTTTAAACTATCTTTAAAACATAAGAGCAAGCGGGCTCTAGAACTGAAAGGTCAAGAAATTGCTTTATTTATCAAAGTTTTAACATAGTCATATAAAGTTTTTCTTGTCTGAAATATATTCTGAATATATCGTCTTTGCCTGATGAACGAAACGATAAAAACAGCAATAACAAACGAGTGAGATCTTTCCAACACTCGAAGCTCCGCACTCCCATGCAACATCCTCCATTTCCCTTTGTAATATGGTCTAATATATCTATTCTATTATTGAAAACACGAGCAAGGATCTTTCATTTACATTCATTTACACAATAATGTTCATTTTATTATACATTTTAACATATTCTTTTCAGTGTTCAAAGGAATCAGTTTGTAGTTGTCAACAAATCCAATATTTTCAGTATTGCTTTAAGTTAGTTTTTCTCGACTGTCCGAGGAATCTATTCTTTGTTCTCTTATTTACACCATATCCTCGCAAAGACTCACTCTTGGGTAACGTTAATCTTCTTACCACCCATGCGGCACATCCTATTCCACAATGCGATCACAGCAAATTCTACAATTTCTGTTAATGTTAAAAGACTCATCCCAAGAAACAAGCCAAGGTTACCTCCAATATTACCTGATGAGTTCAACAATAAAAACAGTTATGTTTTCTCTTATCAGAAYCGCTCATGTTTTTTAGATGAAAAACTACCTACAGTCGAAACATAGTAAAAAMGCTCAATTTTTTCTTTCTCGTAATTTTGGTGAACATTTGTTTTTGGCTTAATATTGAAAAATATCTTATGGATGTGATTTTTGCAGTATTACTCGAAAGCGAACAAATGAATTTGTTTTCAACTATTCCAAAACGTTTTGTAATAGTTTGAAGTTAATAATGATGTCTACTGTTTTTCTGGATTTTCTCATTAATTTTTTGAGAAATTTGGCAAAAAACGAATTTCGAKAAAATGCGATTTCCTTTATAGAGCTAAATATCATGCCAAACAAAACCCTGATCAATGCTTTATTACCGATTCAAACAAGACATAAATCGGTGCATGAGGCAAGATCTTCAAAAAGCGAATTTAAAAGAAGAGCTCTGGTCGAAAAAAAAAAAACTATTGGAAGCCATCTTAATTTCATCAACTAGAAAAATACARTCGAAGAGACTGGAAAGTGGAGCTCTGGTATAACTATGTATTTTTCGTCTAGTTATCTGAAGTTCAAGCATAATTTACACGCGAGATCTTTGCTATAATGTGTGGAGTCGCCATCTTGAGTGACCATCTTTTATCATCAACATGGCGGCCATGTTATATTAAGTAATTTCAGCCAATCAGAGAGCGCGTACTATGTAAGCTATATTATAGAATATAATAATATAATTATAATATAATATCTGCAAGTTTCAGACGATTTCATGCATTACAATTCAAGAAAATCAAAGTCCAAATGTACTTCCAAATAAGGTTAAATCAACATAAATGGCTTCTGATCGAAGAACAACTTTTCTGAGGCAATTCTAGATCTTCAGCAAAATATATAAAACGGAGGATTATTTTTTGATTTCTTGGCATAAATTAAAGTGCCAAAATAACCCAGCTTCTCTTGGTGTATTTTGTATACTTCATGTTGTACCCGTTACTTATGTAATCATGCTTTTCGGGAAAAATTGTAACCATGATGCTTTGCGAGAGGTMTGTCAGTGTTTTGCTGTGAGAGTGTTTAGTTGTGAAAGCGTGCTTCAGAYATATAAGCGTTAAAATCGTTCTGAATTCGTTTTGTTACACKTACTTATCAATGCAAACTCTTGATAGGATGGAACTTGTTTTACTTCTTCGTATAGGATATCCCTCAAGTAGACTTCAAAACTGACGATATTCTCCCTAAAAACAAATAATGTCAAATCTAGTATTTCCCATGGAAGAAAAATATGGCAAGCTGAAAAYKTAGACAAAGCTGGACAAATGATAATATTTGCAYATGTCATTTGGAGAGTTCATTTTTGTGTCAAGATCCGTTATGAATATTGTTTCAGTATTTTTAGATACTTTCTTATAAATACTTATTGTTTAATACTTAAAAGTTCCAATTAATATAGTATTAATTATAATCATTTGTTTTCTTTTATATTGAGAAATATAAAACGGCCGCCAGTTTCAATATAACATGTTGACCGAACAGAAGCAACATTAAAAACGGAATAGGAACAGAAACTCAATTGGTCGTTTTATAGTTCTTTGACATCAGCCAATGTGAGTGTTCGTTATATAACCAAAATTCTATAGAAATCGATATATTTGAGGGTCGCATACTGACCTGAAATACTCATGTTTTTCATTTTCTGATTTATTTCGAATCTCATGACAAATGCTTTCGTTATTTTTGAGGTCTGATCCACACAACTCGTTCGTGTCTCGTACAAGGCTCTTTAGATTAATAGACGATGTTGAAAGTTTCGTCTGGTATTCAGTGTAGTTGCATGACTCAGGGCAAGAGTTTTGACAGTTGGAGAAGTTTCGGTTCTCCATAATTGATTCTGAAAGTTAGTAGAAATATAAATGATTTGTCATTCTTGTCGGGTGTCTTGACTTTGTACATTATTATCTTACCAATTACATTGATATGACAGTTGGTTTGTCTTTCCGTTAGACAGTGCGGGTAACCGTCAGTGCCTGTAATGAATATCATAGGAAAAATAAGATATTTCTTTGAGGTCTTATATTTAAAACAATAATGCGACTTTCAAAATCTTGGGAAACTTGTAAGAAGGAATAGTCAAAGAAGGCATCCAGCAACTAAATGAATTATGGACAGTGTCATGCTGTTCAGTGTTCTGAAAGTACCGTTCGAATGGTCTTCAAATGCCCGAAGCTTAGCTTACTTTGGTACTGTCAAAATGATCCACAACGGGCCGGGGCATTTTAGCACTGAACTTTCTCAAGCGGCACTTGGGATTTAATAACAATCGTTTGATTTGACTTATGCCCAGATTACCATCATTCTAGCACAATGGCTTTGCTTCTAGATACTAACCGGTATAATCCGTTGWACAGTMACATTTCTTCCTAACCTCCCTCTGGTAGCATTCATAGTAGCACAAGTTTCGCCTGTAGTCCTTTTTTTCGTTTTTCCAATTCTTCATTGTACCACATGCAGTCGAATATGGAGTTGGAAGACTGATAAACTGTTTTCGCCTTGCTTCACAAGACGTATAAGCGCCAGACAGGGTGTAAAAACCTTCGTTGATATTTGGAGGAGTATCATGAGGATGGACAACAACCTTGAAGCCAACYTAAAGWGGGAAGCCATCGTCCAAGTATGAATTTAAACCCACATTCAGCACGAGCCGGACCCCAGTTGATCCTCCAGTAAATTTAACAGATCTGTTCCTTGGCCGAAAGGTATAGCACCTGCCGTAGGGAGTTATGTCTACTGGGTCGAAATCGCCGGCATTGCATGGCTTAAAATTGTARACACAGGAAAAAAGCTCTTTAGGCAGAAGCATCTCTTGGATAAGATGGCCTCTCTTTGCTGTATCGGTTGTGTAGAATGAATTCATTCTGGTCGAGTTTGTCAAGTTTTTTTCCAAGGGGAAGAGCCTATGAATAACGCGGAATTTCTTTGTAAATGATATGTAAATATAATGTAATTTGTAATTTACAGAAACAAATATCCTTTTAAACTGAGATGTACATACTGTACATATCTTCTAAAGTTTGCTCGATCTAATGGCGTTGTAAATATCTTGTAAAAGCAATTTATAAAGTATTGAAAAGGACATTTTACCTGTAAATTCGATGATTTACAGCAAATTTACAGACTATAGATATACATTGTACATTGTATAGATATACATTCATGTTTTTATTTTTGTCTTCCTACAGAAAAAAAAGATGGCGCCCACCTGGAATAGTTAACGCCAAACGCRTTTTCAGTCATTCTTCGTAGCCTCCTCGCCATGCATTTGATATCAGCTTRTATTTCACTGTCCGATGTACCMGGAAATTTACTTTTGACATGATCACGGTACTTTCTAGTATTCAGCCTGTTTAGATTACAAAAACTCACGGCTGGAAATTTCTGCTGTTTTTCTTGCTTRATTTCGATGATTGTCGCATAAGGCCTTGACCTGAAATGTTGTATGGAGTCAATGGTTTGACGAACGCAGTAGGCGAACGCAGCTATTAGGCATGCAATCCAAAATAGTTTTCGGACAGGGTTTCTTTCATTGACATATCTCGCTCCATGTAGAGTTGTGTTGTCGATGAAATCTTTCAATCTGACGTTTCTTTCTTCTTTGTTCTTCTTCTGACCGTTTTCACCTYTRTTTCTTGCCTTATCTGTTATATTCATTTTAYTAGACATATGGRARAGCTTAGTTGGCTGTTGAAGGTCACCTTATCATATAGCATTTGTTTGTTTGTGTAAGCTMTAGATTGAAGATCTGCAGTCGAYCTTATTCRTCACTTTTTGTTTGTGCGAGCTTCAGTAAATTCCCTCATGATCTGCATTGGAAAGCTTTCTAATTCGATGTGCTGAATGCTTGCTTCCACGTATATGTAATAAGATGCTGATTAACTCTTGAGCTATATATTATTCCCCTCTATTATGAGCAATAACGTTTTTATGATAATATAAACAATACGTCAGAAAGAGATTATGAACATGAAACAAGAATTGAAGTGATTTATATTCAAAATAAGTTGAATTGTTTTTCGCGCCGCTTTTGAGAAATTAAATTCCTTAATTTTTAAATTCATTCCCATTGTTCAAATACCAAATGTAATTGTGATTTAAAGAATATTAGATCAACTAAACTTCAAGAGTATGGGCTGAGCAGGTGTGCGAAGAGTAATAAGCTCACACATTAACATTCAGTTTGATCTATTTACTCTATCTATCTCACACTTTTAAATTCTTATGATTATTAAGAAAAAAAACATTCAAAAATTAATTTATATAGATGAAACTACAGCTTACTTGACAATATAACAATATAAACGCTATGTTGATGGCGTTTCATTAACACACAACAGCCTCATASTATTCCATTTTTGGACCTACTACGAAATTACAAGAAGCAGCTGAAGCAGAAGCGGTAAGTTCAATTTACTGCATCTGTGGGAGTCCATACAAACTCCTCTGTCATCAGTTTTAGAAGAGATGGTTCGATTGAAATTTTATATTAACAAAACTATGTTATTGTCTTCGTTTTCTCTTTGTTGTTGTTGTTGTTATTTTTTTTATTTTTTTTTATTGTTTTTTTTATTGATTTCATTTGCTGTGTTTGGGCATGGACATCGATTATGGTGCCATTTTGTCAAAATCTTTGATATCGATTTTATTTTCTGGTCTATCATGTTTGATAGACATGCCTTTTCAAAGTCTGGATTTTTCTGCCTTAATATCGACGTCAAAACACCAAAGGAAGACGCGAGAGGAAGTTTGTTGTCCTTCGTGAGCGTTTTATCATTATRGGACTTAACTTTACATTTGTTTATCTTCGAAAAAATTKTTTTGGATTTTTGCTAGAAGTATGCACATGTTKCAGTTAAGGAAAAAAACATGGCTTTTMTGGCGAGTACTCCAAGATAAACGGAACCGTACACGGTGTCCCCGATCAAAAGAGGTCTCTGTTTGAGACTTCGTTTATGAATTGACACTGACGCCAAGCATTAAAATTGAAAATCTCCATTTTGTCGATCATCACTTTCAAATTTAGACTTCAATGTTTGCTTTACAAATGAGATTATGACGTCAATCATAGTAACCGGGAACCCTGCAGTTTTCGAAATCTATTTCGCTGCGGCTTGTAATAAAAAGTGTGTTTACTTTTGAAGACCCCCTTTAAATGCTTGTAGTAGCCATTGTTTTTCCTTTTGTTGTTATTTCAAGTCATATTAAATCGACGTCAGGAATATATGAAAGATCGAAACCCTTGTTAAGCGGCGTTTACGCAAGCAATTTTTCCTTGACAAGTTTTCCTTGGCAAAGAAAAATTGCAGCTCCTGCAAATGGGGTAAAATTGACATTTTTTCCTTGTCAAGGAAATGACAACATGTTCGCTTTTTTATTGAAAGGAACAATTGTCAAAGACGAAATTTGCTCTTGTAAATGGACAATAAGGAAAATGTGGCAAGGAAGCTGTCAAGGAAAACTTGTTGACCATTCACACGGGCAATTTTTCCTTGTCAAGCAAAAATTGCTCGTGTAAACGCCGCTTTATAAGCTCTATGTTGCAAGACTTTTTAGATAAAAGATAAGTTAAATTCAATTTTTTGTCATATCAATTCAATAATGACGAAACTTCCTTTGTATAGCTATGTCTTGTTTAACGATCTTAATCTAATCAACTGTAAAACTTGAAAAGATCTAATAAACCATATAGGACCATTTAGGACGTAAACTAGTCGGAAAAGTAAGTTCACGGCTGCTATAATCCAGCAGCACGCACGCTCCAAATCCATAAAGAAGTCAATTAACCAGCTATGGATTAAACTTTTCAAGATATTATTTATATTCCAAGTCTTTTATTTCCCTTGGATTGTTTTTCCTTATGTAGAGTTATTTTACGGAGTGTCTAAATGTACGTCAGGCAGCCTGACGGAGTGTTCGGAATCTTTAGAAAAGACATATTATTTCAATTAATAGAACAAGTGAAATGGAAAGAAGTCCGAAAAAATACTGTTAGACAAGGTTGTATACGTACACAAGCACGGAACTTGGATTATTTTAAATTGTCCGACAGCGTGACAAGCAGCCAAGGCGCTGTGCGGAACTAAAATGAACCATAGTTTTTGGTGAAAACAATCGTAAAAATAATAATGGTATATTTGGATAAATACAACATAAAACCTAGCACACATATACACACGATGCCCAGTATTTGGTGGACAAAATAAAAAAAATAGCAAAACGAGGCGATGAATTCAAGTTGATCAGTGCAATAGGTGAAGTTTCCATTAAGATTTATTTTCATATTTCCATTATTTTTGTCATTTATGGATGTTAGGATCTTGAAAGGAAATCCGACAGAAAATATTTAGTGGAGGCGCCATGTACCACCTGGGCACAATGGCGAAAAAGAGATGTTAGTATCAAATACTTTTTTGAAAAAAATGCTGCAGCATCAATTACTACTTCTAAGGCCAATAGTGCAATGAATTATTGAAAAGTACACTGAGTTCATAAGTTCAATCATTAAATTCCCAAATAGAGAATAATTTATATTGTGTTGTCTATACCAATTCTTACTTTAAAGCATGCATGTGTTCCTTCATAAGAAAATTGAATTCATGTGTTATTGGTATCAAGTTTATTCATGACGTTGAGTCGGTGGTCTTGCATGGTCAAATGCGAATACATCATCGTTTCGTTTTGGTCCAGAACTTCCTGACTGTGGTTAGTTGAGAAATTCACTAGACAAAACTGCAAGTGAGGTAGAATCTTCTGTTGATGGCTCGCAGTGAGCTGTGAACAACCCTCCTACTTTCTCGCGCCAGATCACCTCAGCTTGACTAATGATCCTTCCTAGTCCAGCCACAGTAAGCGTTTCCATCATTGGTTCGATTTCAAGTTCTGGCGCTTCCACAATGCATTCCAATGCTTGAAGGTCTACTTGAAGTGGTCACTATGGCAAATAAATCTGCTTAAGGTCTTCATGTACTCATCATTCTTATATCTGATGTTTCTTGCGTATTAGAGTATCCATCCGAGATCNTTTTGGATTTTTGCTAGAAGTATGCACATGTTACAGTTAAGGAAAAAAACATGGCTTTTTTGGCGAGTACTCCAAGATAAACGGAACCGTACACGGTGTCCCCGATCAAAAGAGGTCTCTGTTTGAGACTTCGTTTATGAATTGACACTGACGCCAAGCATTAAAATTGAAAATCTCCATTTTGTCGATCATCACTTTCAAATTTAGACTTCAATGTTTGCTTTACAAATGAGATTATGACGTCAATCATAGTAACCGGGAACCCTGCAGTTTTCGAAATCTATTTCGCTGCGGCTTGTAATAAAAAGTGTGTTTACTTTTGAAGACCCCTTTAAATGCTTGTAGTAGCCATTGTTTTTCCTTTTGTTGTTATTTCAAGTCATATTAAATCGACGTCAGGAATATATGAAAGATCGCAACCCTTGTTAAGCGGCGTTTACGCAAGCAATTTTTCCTTGACAAGTTTTCCTTGGCAAAGAAAAATTGCAGCTCCTGCAAATGGGGTAAAATTGACATTTTTTCCTTGTCAAGGAAATGACAACATGTTCGCTTTTTTTTTGAAAGGAACAATTGTCATTCCTTCATAAGAAAATTGAATTCATGTATTATTGGTATCAAGTTTATTCATGACGTTGAGCCGGTGGTCTTTCATGGTCAAATGCGAATACATCATCGTTTCGTTTTGGTCCAGAACTTCCTGACTGTGGTTAGTTGAGAAGTTCACTAGACAAAACTGCAAGTGAGGTAGACTCTTCTGTTGATGGCTCGCAGTGAGCTGTAAACAACCCTCCTACTTTCTCACGCCAGACCACCTCAGCTTGACTAATGATCCTTCCTGGTCCAGCCACAGTAAGCGTTTCCATCATTGGTTCGATTTCAAGTTCTGGCGCTTCCACAGCGCATTCCAATGCTTGAAGGTCTACTGACAAGTGGTCACTATGGCGAATAAACCTGCTTAAAGTCTTCATGTACTCATCATTCTTATATCTGATGTTTCTTTCGTATTCTTATCCATCCGAGATCAGTGAAAAGGTCAGTAGTATTCTCATGATAATTGCCGTATGTTGAAAAGCCAAAATTTGTATAGCTCGCTAAAATATACAAGATTACTGATTTTTTACCTAACAGATACAATCATCACTAGATTCGCGAGACATACATAAAGGAGTCCCTCTCCGTCTTATTTCTACGTCATGACACGAACTTCTTTATTTTTCTTTTATAAAGAATGTTCATGATCTGTTGTTGTTTGTATTTTCGAAATGCCCAAGTCAGCGTCGATGCCTTCAACATTCGGCATTTGATTATCTTTTCCGATTTCCATTGGTTCTATCGACCTGATGAAAGAAACATTGCAAGTTAAGCTGGTCAAACTTTTTTCATTTGGGTTCATATCAGGCCCGTAGGCTACATCCAAAATGGAAGTATTTGCTACTCAGTTGTATGGACCTTTATTATCTGACCATTTTAGCAGCCAAGGTAGTGTGTTTTTTTTTAACTTTTACGTTAACTGCGCCGAAGTCGAAAAATTTTCGATCCAGGATCTATTTCATTACAAAAACCACGCACGTAGCGTCATTTACGCACATACACACAAAATTGCAGAAAAATTCACATAAAATTGATCCCTTTTATATGCCCTCGATGTCTCTCAAAAAACTAATCGAAAATCGTAACAAGACAACATTGACTTTTAAGCCAGTGTGCAACAAAACAAATTCTTTGAGGCCGGACCTTTTTGGCCTGTATCTAAAACTTCTATAAAAATCCCATGATACTTAACCTAATGAGTTAATTCTTAATAACCTTAATCGTCTTATAAATGTAGTTCGCAAATCAATTATAGACGTATTTTCGTCTGAAGTGTCTGCAATGGAGGTTGTCGTATATTTGATACAGTTGGATAGTGTTGTGGAGTAATAATTATCTTTAATAAAGCTGCAAAATCACCCAGTTGCTTTAAAAAGTAACCCTTGGATGACTGTGCCTGTAATGTTTCAATATTGCTTATAAACAAACAAACAAGTTAAGCCCCCGGTCTTTCTCTAGGAATTGCCTCCTTCTAAGCACTATAACTTTTTTCATTGCTATATCGTGTAAATTTTTAAAAAACCCCACTACTTGACTCGCGAGAGTGCTAGTGTACTTAAAAAAAACCCTGAAATATCATATAAATGAAAGCTATTGTCACCAATTTTAAATATTATTAGCTCTTAAATGAATGTCAATGCGTGTTCACCGTGTTGTTTATTTTCCTTGGAAAGGTAAATATTTCTTTGATCCATTTAGATATTTATGTTCAACTGTAGTTCGTTACTTAGCACACTCACCTCTTTCTAAACGACTTWCTCTGCAAATCAAAGAGGCGTTTATTTTGAAGTCGACTGTATCTATCGTAGTATATCTCAGCCATTAGTGTTATCATTGAAAGAACGAATCCTGACCCCAAAACGATTAATACGCCAGCCATGCTGGTAAGTTCCACGCGAGTTCGACCTATCACTGAAACACGTGATTGAACTTGTCAGTATTGGTTGCTTGTTAGTTTGTTTGAATGGGCAGTTGGTTTATAAAATGGTGGAGTTGTAAGTTAGAGTCTTTTTCGAATTGTTAGCAATTTT